CATTAAAATTGAAATTATTTCCGTGATTTTAATAAATTATACGCCTGTTTATCATTTATATTGAGAGGTGTTGGTTTCAAAGTAGAAGTATAGACCATTTTTGTCCAACATACAAGAAAAAAAAATCGAATAGTAGCAATTACACAACATTTTCTAGGTGAAAAGAAATAAGAACATAAAAATAATCACATAGAAATAAGCACATAAAAACGATATTTATTCACAAATCTGAATATACTCGTAATTATTTAAAATGAGATAAAATCACGAACCTCCAAAATTTAACATAAGACATTAAAAGAAACGAAATAAAACTGAAATCTTATAGGGAACTTGCAAAAATTAAATTTTATCCATTATTCAAAAGAATTGGTTTATTTGAAATTAAACAAAAATGCTTTGAGATCAGATTTCAGATTTGAGATTCAAGACCATGAGATTTTCATAGAAAATAAAATATAAATCTTTAAAAGAGACATAAAGACATAAAAACCAAGCATTATAAATTCTCTAAAACATAAAACAAAATAAATGTTTCCAAAATAATTCTTTAGAATAGATCCATCCTTACACATAGCCAGCACAGTCTTTATTTTTATCTTGATTTAATGAAAGTGGTTCAAAGTACAGATTTGTTTCCATAGAAACAATTTTGTTTTAGTATTCCCTAAATCACTAATCCCGTCAATGTGCACGCAATTGAAGGAGGGCGGGACCTGCTCTTCAAACTAGGTAGGACACATCATTTTATATAATTGAGCGGATGGTTGCAAAGTAACTATTAGTATCTTTCTTATAATGGATTTCCACAAAGTAACGCCTGATTCTATCAATTATTTCACTGATTATGTCACTTCTTTTTTTAGTCTTTTGTGGTTTGTTCATTGTGTTTGGTGGAGAGGGTTGAATATAAGATAATTGTTGATACTGGAAAAGACTGCCTTTCAACATCTGAAGGAATGTAATTAGGATATGCCATAGAATCATCATCATCAGAGTTTGTCACTATTTCTGGTAATGTTTTATTATTTGTATTGAATGTGGTAGTTTGTGTTTCTAATTGCTAGGTCTTAGCAGTGACTGCACGTAAGGGATTAGTGTAGAAAGTGGTGTAAGTCCTCTACTAAAGAAGCTCTTCAAGTGTTATTTAGTTGGTTATTTTATACTGACATTGGTGTCAAATGTGACGCTAATGAAACATCTTTGGTACTATTAGAATAGAATGTTTTTATTCAATATAGATTAGAAGTAAATAACTCATTTCTTAATTTTACCACTGGTTTAGAAAAAGCCCCTGTCCTGGGTAGAACCAGCAAGGGCACTTTCTTTTCAAAATATATCATACAAGTGTTTGTACTTATGTTGTACAAAACCTATTCACGAAACAGCTTAGAAGCGATCGCCTCATTCCCAGGGGTTATTATCAACCAGGTATTCATTTATATTATAATAACCATTTTTTACAGATTTTGTTTACTAAATTTTTTAAACTTGGTTATAGAGACACCTTGTATATTTTCCGGGACATTGTTGGTTTAATTACTGATTGATTTATAATATAGTGGGTGTTGTTGACTATGTGTCCGCCTTTTGACGATATCTTGACACAACAATACTAAAATATGTTGATGTTTGTACATAAATCTGCTGTGATGACTAAATATCCTCAGGTTCACGTGGAAATTGACGGTTGTATGCGCATACGTCTTTGTGGCCTGTCAAATCTGCTCCCAATATGTTATAATATTGCTTTTACGTCTACCATACGCCTATATAGCCTAAAATTAATTTCAAGCTCTCTAACTTACGACAAATGATATTTTGCAATTTATTCAAAAAGTGATTAATATTAAATTATATTATTATTAGCTATAGCTTAGAGCAGAATCCAATAGGATTAAAAACAAAAATCGCATTTTTCATATACGCCCCTATGGTTTGAGACCGGCGATATCTTCTAAAATATTCGGATTATGTGGTTCTTTTAGAACATAAGTATTGTGGCTGCCAGCCGTATATTGCTACATATTTTTCATAGTTACTAAAACTACAAGTTTGGCTCCGTATAGCAGTAAGGTTTTAAAATCAATCACCCCAAAAACATGTAACCAAGTCTAATAAGCAAATATACGTTTAAGGAGTTTTCTTCCGCGTACAACCTCTCTGTGGAATAATTTACCACCGGCGATTTTTCCGGACCGATACAACCCGGGGACCTTCAAGAAAAAACCTTGATGGTCGGTGGTCACTTAACATCAGGTAAGCCGTATGCTCGTTTGCCCCCTTCTCTATGAAAAAAATATGTATCAAACGAAAAATTGTAAAATAGTCTGCGGGAAAATAGCGTAAGTCATAATATAATTTGCCTGATGCTAACAACTGTACTATGCGTAAATTATATAAATGTTGTAAGAAATAAAAATTCAGCAAATGTTTAAGTAAAGTTAAGTAATATTGTTAGTGTGAAAAAAATGCTTATAATATTATACATATGTAAATTTTGAGCGATGCTCTTAGTTTGCTCGAATTTTATCTGGGATATAAAATTCGTAACAACAATATTATCCGACAAAGCACAACGGATCACTAAGGTAACTGAACGCCCATATAGCTCGAAGTACCGACAACTGATAGGGAAGAAAAACGTTCTCGAGTGGCAGCCTTGTACTAGCTAACGTAGTGCTGGGCGATCTCCCGCTAGATGGAATAAAGGTGGCTCGATGCCACGATGGAAAACTATTTTCAACAGGGAACTTGTAGTTGTGATGGGTTGTAGTGGTAAATGCAAATTTATTTTTAGAATACGTCTAATCAATCACATTTTTATTTAAAATTGGTAAAAGTAACTTAAGAAAACAAAATTTATATGACAATTTGCCACCTCGACAATTATTATAGAAAATAAACTATACAATCATATATTACACATTACTAGTCTTTTCATATGAAGCTTGTTAGAGTAAAGCTTTGGCGTAATTAAGTCGTATGAAAACCTATCCCATAAAAAAACAGAATAAGTGGCAACCACCTCTATTAATAAACACATGTGGTAAAAATAAGTGTTGTACAACCGCCTTCGCCAACAGAACATCATCAATGTAGTCGAAGTCAACTTAAGGCATTATTAAGGACAGCTCAAAAACTACTAGTCAGATCTTGATCAAATTTATATGGAACTGTATGAGAAGCATCAGCTTTCAAAAAAGAAAAGAATCATCAAAATCGATTTATACAGAAGAAAGTTCAGAGGTAACACACATATAAATATACTCGAATTGAGAACCTCCTCCTTTTTTGGAGTCAGTTGAAAATATGGAACAAAATAATGTATAAATCTAAGTTGTTATAAGTGAAATAAATAATCTCGAAAATCACAAGTCTTTTAAATTTTGTAAGTAGTCTTGAGCTTAGTATGGCGAGGGGTATGTGTTGCCAAAAACGCAATTTTTCTTTAGCTGTAAGCAAAAATATGCATATTGAGCTAATTTTTTGCCTACGCACTGTATTGTTACTTAAGAAGAACAATTGATAAATTTATTACATTATTTAAGGATTACTCGAAAACCACTGGTCAGATCTTGATTAACCATAACGAACAACACGAAAAGCACCAGCTTTCAAATAAAAAATAAATCGTCAATATTGGTTCACCCAGAAAAAAGTTCTGAAGTAACACACGTAAACAACATACAGTTTTGAATTGAATAGCTTTAAAAATAGAAATACGGACATTTTCAACGGCGAAAGTGTATTTTTTTTAGTAGCAGAGACACGAGACCCACGCTCGTTATCGCATTTTTACGTAACGTTAATATGATGTATATAAATTTAAAATAATGTATTATATGTACTATGTAGTATAACGTAACAATGTATTTTAAATACGTTTGTAGAAACAATTCTTTATCGATCGTATCTTTCTTAGAAATGTTCATGTAATAATAATGTCCTCCAGACCGAATTTCGGCCACGGCGGTCTGCCTCAACGGAGGTTAGCCATCGGCGCAGGACAGGATTATAGTGCCCAAGTGTATGCGCAAGCACAGGTGCACTCTCTATTCCCTCACTCTCATAATCCGATGGGACGGTAAACCGACATGACCGGAGAAAGCTCAGGCGTAGGACCAATGGCTTTATGTGCTTTCCGAGGCACGGGGAGAGACACCGCCAACTTCCTGACTCCGGGTAGTTATTGAGAATTTCTTGACGGAAAAACTCAATAATTTATTTTTTTGGCTCGACCCGGATTTCGAACCCAGGACCTCTTGATCAGCGATCGCACTACTACAACCACTAGACCAACGAGGCAGTCATGTTCATATAGTAACGTATTAAAGTGAAGTCTGAAAAAACTTAATAACGAAAGAAGGTTCACCGTCGATGGGAGAACTTAAAGTCTTCATCGTAAGTAGACGCAACAGCTATAAAATTAATTCCTATTTTCTACAACATAGTGCTTCAAGCGGTTGACTAACTTTTTTTTACGTTTAATTAAAGAAGCTTTGTAGCGTAAAGGCTTGGCGTAAAATCACATTTTTCCCTTATATAGTAAAAGAGCTTCGGAATCATTAAAGAGTTTTTTCATAGTCGTCTGGTGCGCACAGCGAGAGATTGGAATTCCTTTTCCGCATCTAACTTTCCAGACTACACGAGAATCATTATTATATACGACAAGATGGTTTTTTTTCTGAAGTGACTTGTTCACCTTGTACGAGTTTATTACTACTGGCCATTTGGAAATGAATTTGTTCAAACGTAGCGTAACACTCAGCTTTTTTTAATATGTTCTAGGAGTAAAATAGACTCAATATTTGCTGGCAGCCCGTTTATACTTACCGTGAAATGAATATATTAAGGTTAATTAAAACGTTATACGAAAACAAAATAGGTACCTACTTATTCAGGGCGCAACGAGCATTGGAATTTTCGCTGTGCTGTCAACGAATGATTTTAGTTAATAACTTAGAGTAATAATGTACTATATAGTTAATAGGACTTACCGAAAGGGTGATCATCTTGTCTAATAGCATTATAAGTGGGATGTGGAAGTCGAATACGAAGTACTGCAAACAAATAATATGAATTAGGATAAACATGACCTATTAATGCAAGACAACGAATCTTCTGAAATCAATTAAAAATAATAAAGAAACAGAAACAGAAACTTCTTAATTCAATATAGATTATAAATAATACTTATTGAAAGTCACTTATTTCATTTACCACTGGTTCGCAAAAAACCCCTCTGTCCTGGGAAGAACCAGCAAGAAACCAAGCGGGACTACTTATTTTTAAATGATCAATGGTTGCCAACCTAACTTGCCAAGCGTGGCAAATATGACCAATATCCTTCATTTGACGCAATCAATACGGGAGATTTACGTTCAGCAGCAGCAGTAAACTTTTAATGGGATGTAATCAATGAATTTATGTATTAATTGAAGACAATATTTAATAGTTCCAGTGTGGTTCTACCACGTTAAAAGGAATCTCTTGTGGAATCGCTTACCACCAGCATTTTTCCGAACCAATACGACTTAGGGACCTTCGAAAAAGAAGACCCTACTCTTTTCTAAAAGGCCGGCAACGCATCTGCAATTCCCGTTGTTTTGCAGTTGTTCATAGGCGGTTGTAGTCACTTACCATTAGATGCGCCGCATGCCTGTTTGTTCCCCCTTATTTAAAGAAAAATAAAGGAATTAAAAAGGTTAATAAATGATGAGTTATAATTTTACCTCAAACGTTTTAGTTTGCTTAGTTATGTGAGGTTGCTCCTTCAAGAAAGATTTTCGTACGTTCGGGAATGTTAGTGGAGCTGTGTCGCTATTGAACGAATGTTCCGCACTGTATTTTGAACGAAAACTTTTGTTTCGTTTAAATATGACTGAATAAAGGCAAAGAGATTCAATGAATGAAATTTAATATAATACCGAAATCTACTTCCTTTACTCCCAATCTTTAGTTCTAGCTTGTTTTGGAAACGTAATAAACTATTTTATATTTTGTTATAATATTTGAGTTTATTATATAAAATCCATTAAACGTGAACATTTCTGGTTCTTCCCAGTAAAGAGGTTCTTCGAACCAGTGGAGGAAAGCCTAAATTACTTTGTAATATATATTGAATAAAAATTATTGTTCTATACAAAACTGGTATTTACCATGTGGGTATTTAAACAGCGTTCTCCATTAGACAGTCCATTATTTGAGGAAAATTTAGGTGTAATATTTATAAAATTTTGAGCAAATTAGCTAACGTAGTGTCCCTGTGCGAAGTTGGGGCGGTTCGACTGGAGGCAGGTTGGTATAATATTCTAATATAGATTCTTACCTCATTGTAAAAAGGACAGTTGGTGCTCTCTTTGACACTAGTATACTTGCGTGTGTCTCCAACTTGGACGCAAACTACTGAATCAATGTTCAGCCCTGCAAGCTGGCGGGCCTCGATAATCGTTATGCATACTTGGTAGTCGGCTGCTTTAAGAGCAGCAAGACCAGAAGTATCGGCATCGCTGAATCTGACAGAAGACAAATTTTAATTTTATATTGTTTGTTTTCCTCTTCTTATTTCTTCATAACTTCGATTTAATAAACAATTGGTTTTTGGTTTCTCATAAATAGAACTAATGGAACTTTAAGAAGCAAACAATTAAAGTTATTTAAAATAAATCTAGGTGGTTTTTTCTACTTCGGAGATAGTAAAATATTCTTTTTTAAAATCTAGGTTCTTTTTCTTCGCTGTTTAATGTTGGTTGCAGGTATTTAGTTTCAGTTTTCAGTTGAAATGTTAGCCTCTTTATCATTTTTATTATTTTAAAAATACTGATGGAATACTAAATGAGCAATAGCTATTACTTATTATTAATAGTAACTACTAAAACAATAATTAAACACTATATAAGGATATTCCAAAACTTAACGTGAAGCGGATAGACACAACAGGCTAGGTTTTACCAGTTCAAGCAAAGATAAAAAATACTTCACGTTACTTGGTTAAGTGATAACAGTTTCACTTTTGAAAATGTTGAAAATAAATACCTTAAATAACATATTTAGGTACTGAAAACACAAATTTCTAAAATTTTCAGTGCTTTTTAGAATGTAATCCAGTTAATATAGTGAGTTTGTTACAAAAAAATAAAACTTAATTAAGTTATGGTTAAAAAGGTTTAACACATAATATTGACGCCTTGTCTTTAAAAAAATATACTAAACTACCATTAGCAATTTGTTTTAAAAAAGGTCCATTTAATAAAGATCTCAAAATATTCTCAAAAGTTACGTGTACGTATCAGCTTAATGCTGCTGTATTTCGTATGGTGAGTGTAGAGAACCGGAGACCCTTTTTAGTGGAAAAGAGGCATTCCAACTTAGTCCTCAAAGCTGACAACGCGTCTTCATTTTGATTCGCAAGCGAGGATAGATGTAGATGTCTGTGGGTCACAGCAACCACTTACCATCAGGTGGACTGTGTGCTCGCTTATCACCATTTTCCTATAAAAAATAGTGCACAAACTTTTTTTGTGCTAAACTCACAATATTAATTATACAATTTGAGACTGCAGTAAATAGCATAATTAGTTTGGATTACGTTAAAAAAATACTTCAAAGTTTAGAAATTTGTAATCACAGTAATTAAATATGTGATCTGGGGCATTGATTTTAAATATTTTCAAAACTATGCCTACCTATTATCACTTAACCGAGTAACATCGATTTATTTTTGCTAGAACTGGTACAACTTAGCTTATCGTGCCGTACCCACTTGACGTTGAGCTTCGGGACCACCTGAGTTTGTTTTTCATTTTCTGAGCAAATGCATCGATCGGTGGAAAACTGTATAAAACCTATCGGGTGGGTGGTGAAATAATTCAGTGGTAGGAAGCATGGTATATTTCAGGTCAATAGTTTGAGCCCAATTTGGTTTGGCTCTTGAGGACTCTAGACTTGTGTGTGCCAGTGTTTAGTCGTGTATATATTCATATTATGTCGTTATGGAATATTACTTCTTATACCCGTTAAAGTACCACTATTAAATTATAAAACGCCTTATAGAGCCTTTTACTGCATAGAAGACCGCATGTCCGTTAGGTCCAATTATGGGAAACGACTATACCCAGCACTAAATTGTAACGAGTTGAAAATGAAGTAGAAAGCTATAAACATTACTTACAATTTCCTACGCCTTGGTGTATTAACAGACGAGTGGGTTCCGATGATAATATCATCCGGTGATATCGAGTCCTGGCGTACGACTGGATCTTGTTCAGTTGAAGTAGAAGGGCCCGGCATATCAAGCAGCCCCTGTTCCTCATCGCCGCGGCTCTGACCGCCGCGATTGCGGCCGAACCGTACGAATGATCTTATATTCCTGAAGGTGGAAGTGCGCTTACGCTCGGAAATGGTGACCACCTTCTCAGTGCCCATTGAGAAACCACGTCTAAAGAGTAAATATAATTTTTCTTTGCTATGCTACTTAAAATGAATTTAAATGGTCACCAAGCTAAAAAAATTCGTAAAGATAATTTAATGGTATTATTAAAAAAATTGTGGTCTCAGGAGGCTTGATTAAGATTTGTGCATGGTGGTAAGTTTAAAGCAACATATATTCACCAAAAGGGATTCCTTTAAATTTATTCCATTGAAACAAATTGAAAGGATATCACCTTTAATATTTTATCCTAATACACAAAGAAGCAATTTTTATCATTTTTATTACTTTGATATTAAACGTGTGAAGGCGTAACTGCTTACTGGGTTGTATTAACACAAAATAACAATTTATGTGTAAAATTAATGAACATGGATTATAACTACAGTTAAATACTAATCAGCCATTACACCAAACATTAATCCACATGGTCGCCAACCATCATCGTCATCACCCGCTGTAATTTCAGCCGAATTTCTTATTAAGTTTCAGCTAGTGTTAGTAACGGTATCTAATTAAATTTACATCTTACATATAGTACTCGGATCGGAGTAGAGTTTTGGCGGTGATAACGGGTGCATTGATAGTGCAAAATTAGATTTATGGTATATTTGTATATGTTTTCTATCAAAAAATTGCAGCGCCAGATAAATAACTAAATAATATAAGGACAAAATACTAAATACGGTAATGTAAATATCGGTAACCTATACAAGGTTAGAATAAAAAAAGAAATTAAATTAATTAATACGAAGAAATCTTGGCGCACAGAGATCATAGGTCAAACTGTAGATAATTTTAAGGCTAAAGCTAATGTCTAATAGTCCTAAAATTATATTTTAAATTTTGTTTTCATTTCAATGTCCTAAAACGGTGACAATTTAGGCTTAACAGCCTAAGCGGATGTTCGAGGGTCTTATAGTCTTAGTAGCTGTACTATGTTATGGATTCTACCATGCAGCCATGTTATATAGTTGTAAAATAGAAATTTTTATTACTTACGCTGTAGGTATAACAGTTATTTTCAACATAGCATATAATTCTCTTTGGAGATACGTATAAAATGGAATACCTGGTCTTGGGAACAGTTTTGGATAACTTTTATTAAGATTTCTTCTAACTGATATGTGGGGAAAAAGAAAAAGATTTTATCTTATAAGATTTCCCACATATTGATAATAAATTAATTCTATTCGCTAGCACAATATAAACACGCAACGCATGCAAAATGGCGATATTTCATAACTTATGCAGATTTAAATTGTACTATGGTTGTTTTTTTTTGTGTTAAATATCACCCCTATAGAGAGAAGTCATAAAACTACTATATTTATAAGAGTGTACAATTATACCATAAAAGTAAGTTAAGAAGGGAGTTTGCATATACAATTGTTTAGAAAAAGATTTGAGAGATCCTATCATAGAATACTATAATACATATGTATTCTATGGATCTTATAATAACATTTAGTTGTTTATGGAAGTGACTGCGTGTAAAAAACAGCCTATATATACTTAGATTTAATGATAAAATCAGATTAAATTGTTATAAAATACTTAAGGTCGCATACTAGAGTTTTTCACACGTCACAATATGACACTTTTCACACGTCATATTCTGATTAAGAACCCTAAGCTTACTTAGATACCTAACCCTTTCTTTACTTTATCACTTGAATAGGGGTATACTTTTTAAATATAATAAATCTCTTTTTAATCCAAATGATCATCCACTCGGTAATGACTACAGTTCATATATTTCCGAGGCAGGTTTTCATTATTTTACTGATCGGTGCGCTAGTTCGATGTTTAATTTCATGGTATTATATCTAAGTTCTCTGTCGTCATGAATTTGATGACGTCATAATGATATTCTGTGGCTAATACCGAAGAGCAACTTAATAAACTTGAGTGATGCCAAATCTATGTGTACCATTTATATTTGGTTGGTGCGGTTCATATTTTGTCTCAGAATACCGCGATAAGCTCAAGTGGCTCCCAATCCGCCTTCGTCAGAATACTTATATCCTTTCGGCTCTCTACTGCGTCATTTTTAATATATCTCTCTACTTTTTATTTTTACAGATCTCGAAGTCAAGCTTTAGACTCTGTAGGCAATATATTCATTTAAAAAAAAAACAAGTTTAGAAACACCAATTGCATCTGTTATTTAATTAAATAACTTTTTAATTTATATTATATATTTTAGATGTTATTAGGTATTTATAGTTCACCCTATCTATTAATTAATTTTTCACTTCTTTTTTATTTACTTTTTGTAGGTTGTCTGGTAGAAATTGCTGTTTAGGGGTAGGGTGGCGTTTTTCTGTTCTCTCCATGTTTATTTCTTATTATGTTAATAGTTTTCTTAGTGTGCATTAACGGTAATAATATAACACAACTCTAATAGATACTTATGCTCAGTGGAATATAATAAATATCAGAAGAAGTACAATTCTAAAGGCATTTTGCACTAGCCACTATTATAAACTTTACTAGCCGAATTTCTCAATATTCAAGTAATTTATCGTCAAACGCAGTAGAAAACTTTTATTGATTTTGCAATATTTGAATACAATAAATTCAGACAGCAGAAAAGACGATGGAACAACTGCTAGTCAACTACTTGGAAACTTTTTATTTTCGGTGTAAGTAGTTAAAATTTCGCTTTTCACACGTCTACCTGCATCATGTTCTTTAATCTAATATTACGTGAAATATTAATAAATTTAGCATTACTATTGGTATTTTATATTTGCTATATTTGTATAATATTCGAGCAAAGAGCAACGTTGTATGATTTCGCAGGAGAAATTTAGTTTTTAGATATTTGAGTCCTTAGACAGTCAGGTTAGGTCGGATCCTTTTAAGATATTTTTTTTTTGTGATGTCCGCCATCATACAATTAACGCGTCGAGGCCTCACTTTCGAAACACTTTCAAACGAGAGGAGATTCAAACATGTACCTACGAGTAGACTGTTACTTTACTTTTTTTCACTAGTTATATTACATAAATGATAATATATTACAAAAATGCTTAAGAATGAAGTAAAATTATCTCAGAAAAAATTAAATATTAGCTGTTATTGTGACGTCCATGTGGTTTAATGATAAGAATCCTACTACATTGTAGGAATTTGTCTACAAATATTTAAAAAAAAAGTTTCAGCTTTGACTGATATTATAACATTTCACGTACTTGTGCACTGCTTCCAAACCTGCCTCTATCTTTTCGCAAAAGTGTCACTTTAGATTCAGGAATAAAAGACCACTTCAGGTAGCATTTTAGTGATTCAACAAACTGTAAATATTCTCATATCACTTATGCGACAAGATCGGACGTGGAATTTGGTGCAGTGCACAGAGTATTCCACTAAAAAGCGCTCGATCTATTCGAGCGGGCAACGAGGCTGTGCGTACCATGTGCACTATAAAAACGTTGTATTGGGGTGTCCAGTGTTAACTTATATAATATATGTGCACATGGGTCAGAGGTTGGAGTTGAATACCACGTGTGCCGCCCCGCCGCACGCTCTTTAAGTAAGATCAGTGGGAATCCGTTGTCGTACGTACCGAACTTAAATTGAAAGCAAAGCGAACATTTGCAGCCTCTCTAATTGTCCTACGTGACAAAACACACATTCCAAGTTTATAGCGCAGTACAGGATAGCGCGAAGCGAAAGAGTTCAGTTGCTTGAAATATTTTCGCGCAATTCGAACGTGGTTTGCGTTTTGTGTTCAATTATAACATTACAAAATTGACAAAACCTTTAAAGTATAATATGACCGTAAATTGGAGAAAATTTTGTCAAAACAATTGACGGCCAGTCACAACGGGCACTAGATATTTAGCAGGATAAGATTATAGTGCCTGAGTGTATGCGCAAGCACGGGCGCACTCTCTATTCCCTTACTCCCATAGTTTGATGAAACGGCAAAGTGAGAAAGATTCCGTAAAGGAACAACGGCCTTCCGAGACTCGAAAGTGAAACACCGCCAACTTTCTGATTTCTTGCTACTGATAATTTCTAGACTGAAAAAATCAATAACTAATCTTTTTGGCCCGACCCGGGTTTCGATGCCGGAACCCATAATCAGCAGCCACGTTTATGACCACCAGATCATCATATTAAAAAATAATAACATTAATAATGGCGTCATACCGCGCAATGCCGCGTTCGCGTTGTGTTTGCTCACGTAAGACGCAAAGTAATCAGATACATAGATCATGCATAGCACGGCCCGGTAATCTTATTACAGTGGACCCCCGGTAATTTGCCCCTGTCTAATCCCGCACCCACTGTAATCCGACATGGTTTATTATTTATTATTGAATATTTTTTGATAATCTTTGCTAATGCATGACTGAACAAGTTATAACTTGTACACACCACCACTATTGTGCTCGACGCGTAATGAAGTATGATTTGTACTTCATTACATTTATATAACATATAAAATCTTATCATTGGATCTGTAATTTGTCGGATTACAAGGTCCTCTTTTGTAAAAAATTCCGGACTTTAGGTAGTCTTAGGCAGTACTCTATAATCTGACAAATTCCATAGTTCGACACTGCCCTGCAAAATTTTTGTCGGATTACCGGAGGTCCATTATAGTAAGACTATTTGGGTCTTGTTCCGATATTCTGCGAGCGCTGCTCAGTGCATTCACTAGTGAAAAAACGTTAGGTTATGGACTGCCAGAATACTGCCGCAGTACCCTGGGGATATATATGACATCGTAAATTACCGCCATTTTTGTACACTGGCGCTTCCGAGGTAAGGTGCTCTCATCACTTTGATTAAAAAACATAACAGGGCCTAGATATTTATCAGCTTCCACGAATGATTGTTATTATTATTAATTAATATTGTGATTCATATAAACTCGGTCATTAAGTTTTAAAAGCAACAACATTGAAATAATAATTTTTCTAGTTAAACGAAAAACGTGAATATGATAAATATTATAATTTGAAACCACTGTCGAAAAATGGGAATGACTTGTTGAGGGGATGTTTTAAACTGTAACCAGTATAGCAAACTAAAAAGGAACGGCTTCACAGAATGTGTACTGAAAAGACGTCACACCTTACAGTGGTCGCAGTGTATATCGGAACCCACCTGTAGTTAAACTACTGGAAATACCCTTATTATCCATATATTTATAGAGGTGGTATAACAAATCACAAACACCACTTGTAAAGGGAGTCTTAGTTTTACTAGCAGGTTTTTTTAAAAATTGTGTATTGCTATTTTAGTTACAACCCGCTTAGTCGGAATAATAAAGTAGCTATTCTATAATAACATTGACAGCAGCTTAATGCTGTATTGATGTATTTCGTATAAATAAATTACCGTCAATCTCGTGTAGCACGTGTCAAATACGTGCAGCTCCACTCCAAACTTGGTAATCATGCACACTAGCGCCTCTAGTGGCATGAGTTGTTGAATTTAGTTTACAGCCTTGTAAATAGTCGCGCGGTTAACATTGTTTGTATTATTTTACTAATTACATAAGTAATTAATAAAAGATGTCTGCAAAACCTAGTTTTTCACGTGGTAATTATAAAAGAACCAAAATCGTTCTTTAGAATCTAAAATTAAATCCAAAATTTTGGAGAGGTTAGTTGTATGTGATTTTGTTAAACAAATGTGATAGTAGGCTTGTAATATTTCCTTTGTTGTACTTATTAATAAATTTCCTTTTAGATTGAAGCAATGGATTGTGCCTTGTAAAAGAACTGACCTGGATAATTTGATGAAAATTAAAGATGCCGATTATTTTTCCAACGATTATGTTGTTTGTTCAGATTATTTTGATGAAGAATGTTTTCGAAATAAAGATTTATATAGCCAGGAGTAAGTTGTCAATATTTAGATGGTATAATATTTATGTAATGAATGTGTTTTCCATACTAATACGTGCAGATGTACCTATAAAAAGTATCATTTTTTAGGTTAATTACCAACTTGAGTACCAACCTTGAAGTTGTATTTCTAGAAGTGTATTGTATAAAGAGTATAAGGTATAACTTTCTGTCTTACATACCTAAATTTTAACATTTTCATTGTAAGGTAAATCTTAAGGAACTACATAGTATGTGTGCCTTTTTTGTTGCAGTTCTAAACAGATCAAATTGAACTTGGTAGACCCGATATTGGAGACCCAAAGCAACATGAAAAAATAATACCTAATGTTGCAAATTTGCAGACAGAAATTCTAAATCTACATCTTGTTATAGATAATTATAAGAAAAGACTAAATAATACCTCTAGTTTATTATCAAAATATAAGAAAAAATTTAAAAGTTAAGGCTCTAGCTGTGTGTAAAAATAAGTGGATTTCTTTTGCAAAGAGAGCGAATCAAGCATAAAAACATAAGTGTTTCTGTTTCAAAAACAAAGTTTTAACCAAGCACATTATCCTGTTAGTATTTCTGAAAATAATTCAGAATAGGTACTATGTTTTAAGTTGGGTATGTAGATCACTGCCACATGATAAATGTATAAAAATTGTATGTAGCCTAGATAATTTAAGTTTAGAAAATAGAGAATGCCAAGAGAGTTTCAGATATTATCAACAAAATTTTTAAAGAAAATATACACAATTATTTAAATATTTCTGTAAACAATGTTAAAGGTAGATTAATTTGAACAAATAAATATTTCTAAATGTGATGAATGTATAAGATTATTTTTAGACAAGTATTTCTACGTTCTGCTAAAAGCATACGTGAATAAGTTTAATGAGTCGCGCAGAAGTAGATTGAAGTCTAGAAACTTGAAAATTAAGGAAAATTTAACATTCCTAATGTATTTAGTTTTATTTTAAAACCCCTAAGAAATCTCCAGAAACTATTATCTACGTTTTGTTTCTAGTACAGTGTAAAATTGAACTAAATTTTCAAATTCTGTTGAAAAACTACATACAAACAACGAGTTTTGCATAGTTCATAACTTTTTCATCAACTCATGCCACTAGATGGCGCTATTTTGACAGTTGCCATTCCAATGTATGGAAACTGTCGAGAGCTGCACGTATCTAACCGTAAGGTTTTATAAAGTATTTGTTCCGACTGAGTGGGTTGTAAGTAAATTAGTAATACAAAATAAATAAAAAATTAGGAGTCTGATTGAGCGTGATGCAAGATTCGAAAAAATGTTAATATGTAATAATATCGGCAATTGACTTACTTTAGAATGAGTCTGCCTACATTTCTGATCCTGCTAGTTCGAGACTCATCTCCCGATTCTATATCGAATACCGTTTCCTCACGTTTCAGCGAGTGATCTATAGTAGCAATATTTTGCTCCATATTATTCAGTGCTTGCACATTTTCCATATTAGAGCACATTGCAGAGCTTTGAGAAGAGCCTGGGATCGATGCAGGCACCATATTTTCCAGTGCTTGCACATTTTCCATATTAGAGCACATTGCAGAGCTTCGAGAAGAGCCTGGGATCGATGCAGGCACCATATTTTCCAGTGCTTGCACATTTTCCATATTAGAGCACATTGCAGAGCTTCGAGAAGAGCCTGGGATCGATGCAGGCATGGATCTGCGGTGTACGAATGGTATTACAGCATGTGCTCTGGATGTTGAAGGTTGATTAGTGCGGAAAACTACCTCTTCGAACCTTGGAGCATTCAATGGCATGTGCGGTGGTTTGTAAAGGAGTTCCATCTCGATGTAAATCTGGGGGAGGAGATATATACATTATTAGTTATCTGTTTCTTTTAGGTTTACTACATAACGATGTTCTATACTGTATAAATTTAAAATGTAGAAGTTTAATAGTAGTATAATACAAATTATAATAAATTAAAATTATAATAAATTAAACACTCATACTCAATAAAGTTTAGAAACGAAGGGAGGGTATGGGGGGGGGGGTAAGTAACATGATACGTGGCTTAAAAGAAAAATATTTGGATGTTAAAAATCTTTTGTTGTTCTATAAATGACAAATTACAACGTTTTTAAAAGAAATTCAAGTTCGAGATAATTTTCCACACTGGGCTGCCTTATAGAGTAAGGGTGAAGAATGAGTATACAGTCCGCCTGATGGTAAGAGGATACTGTGGCTCATAGAAATCTAAATAAGTCCTTAATGAACGCGTTGTCAACCCTGAGGACTAACATGGAATGCCTCGTTTCTAGTTAAATGGTCTACAGTTATCAACACTCATCATACGAAACACAGCAGCATTAAGCTGCTATCCTACGTTGGTATTCTGTGAGAGCGTGCTCCTTCCCCGCTGGAGACGACCTATTCACACTATAACTATATAAAATGCTACCATGATATGTGACGGAAAATTTCTTGGCAGAAAAACTCAATAACTGATTTTAGCCCAAACTAGGATTTGGAGCTGGGACCACGTCACCACATTTTTACTGAGCCACAACTTTTTTACTGTGTCGTATTTGTGATATAAATTTTAAGCATTTTTCGCTAAAATATATTAAAATGCATATAAACGTAGTTATTATAATTAATTTCCCTTTTGTGATATTTTTCTTAAGATCATTTCATTCAGCGACAATCAAGTGTCTAACTACAAAATGATTGAATACTCTAGTAATAAAACATAAAAACAAACCAAATGCAGTATGCGTTCGACTTAGATTGTCTTTAAAATTAAGGTTCGGATGTGTAATATAATTTTTACATTTTGTTTAAACCATTACTTACAAGTGACACGATGCATAGAAAAAAATCATTGATGAAGTGGTGAGGAGTTTTTGTAATAATGCTGTGTTACAGGAAGTTGTACACGTTCAATTAATTAAATTAGCTAGTAACACGTTAAGAATTTTGTAAATAAGTTTTTCATAAAAATAAGGCCAATTAATCATATTCCTAGCCTCAATAGCCTGTCATTGAGCATAAGCATTTAAATGAATTTACTGTCAACATTTGTTGCATAATCGTTACTTAGAGATTTATTGATATTTGAATTGTTTTGACATAGTTGTAAATTGCGTATTTAATCCGAATGAAAAATAAGGCCAATTAATCATATTCCTAGCCTCAATAGCCTGTCATTGAGCATAAGCATTTAAATGAATTTACTGTCAACATTTGTTGCATAATCGTTACTTAGAGATTTATTGATATTTGAATTGTTTTGACATAGTTGTAAATTGCGTATTTAATCCGAATGAAAAATAAGGCCAATTAATCATATTCCTAGCCTCAATAGCCTGTCATTGAGCATAAGCATTTAAATGAATTTACTGTCAACATTTGTTGCATAATCGTTACTTAGAGATTTATTGATATTTGAATTGTTTTGACATAGTTGTAAATTGCGTATTTAATCCGAATGAAAAACATAATTGCCTAATTTTAAGAATTAAAACCCTTTGTCAGATTGGACCTGTGATGGGCTGTAACGATCCTTCCATCTCCACGGGGGATAATTAAGAATAACTTAATACTAACCGCTTTAAAATCTGCGTAATAAAACTATATTCAATACTGTCAATAGTGTAATTTTCCAATTGCAGTAGTTTACTTATAACTAGCGATCAGCACATGTTTCGTTGGGATAGGACCTATTAATGTGATTTGAAAATAATCAAAAACCAATTTCTTTATCATTAATAAAAAATATCTTGAAGTTTTTCGGATGTAATATAATAGCCTAGATACCTATAATAGCCCAGATACTTGACGCATTGCTCTTTATCTGTTCGTTTAGTTTCAATGCAATCGATTTAGTCACTCGGAAGTTTAGCTCGGCGAGACAGAAGGACGAAAATTTTAAAAAATATCTATATATCATTTTTATAAGTTTCGTTCTAAATTTGTATTCTTAAAAAATCATCGTTTAGGACGACACTAACCGCTCTTGCATTTCATAAAGTACTAGCTTGCCAGGCGGCCGTTGTTCTGCCTTTTTCGACGACCCTTTGTCATGTCCTATTAAAAATCCTTAAATTCGCAAAAAATGTGGGTCACACACTCATGGGCAAAAAAACTATCCTATCTCTCAAGTTGGACCAAACTGCACACGGTGTGCAAATTTTATTAAAATCGATTTAGGAGTTTAGTTTAGGAGTCCATTGCGGAATAAAAAACGTGACACGTAATTTATATATATTAAGATATTTATAATTAGTATATTCTGAGACATTATAGCTGTTGGTCTTTTAGCTTTTACTGCTGCTACATCTATCTCAGCGCCAGAGGATAGAAGAAATAACCAATTTTAGAATTAATCTCAATTTATATAACTGCCGTACAACAGGCGTCGCAAGAAAATTAAACCATGCATGTTTTATGTCCGCTATTTTGATGTAGGGCTACTGAACACCGCCTCCTGAAAGTATCGTGTTTATTTTTGTAATACATAATTGTAACACTCAACAAAAATGTAACTAACGTTTTTAAATTAAGATTAAGAAGAATAAGATAAAGTGTAATTATTAGAAAACGAAGTTTAATATAAGATAAGGACAATGATGCATCGAAAAGTGGTTGAGGTGATTGTAGACAAATTACGGTCCGGTCCATTAAAATAAAACGGCTCAAAAAGTGAAAAGGTTTTGGGGTTTTTAATTTTTTTGGATTCTATAGGAAGTGTCGCTCTCTTCGGCAGGTTCTGACGAAACATCTACAAACTCCCGTTGACATAAGAACGTGAACGTCCATATATGAAACGAAAGGTAAAACAACCGGCAATGCCAGTATTAATGATGATGAAATAATAATAAATATTTACTTAGTCCATTTCCTTTATATTACATTAATCTTTCAAACACGCTAACCTATATTTACAAGATTAGACCCCTTTACAATTATAGTATAATTACACTATAGATATATATCCAAAATAATAGGTGATACTTTTAATAACTATTTCTAATAAACAAAACAAGAATTTAGTACAAAATAAAAATAGTACTATTAGTTATCGTTAAAATTGAATGACATTTTAACTCTTGCCGCGCACAGCTTCAAGATGAATGCATGCAGTGGCCAGGTTAGTTAGCATACTACATACTACGGACATGGTTATGAAACATTTATAAATAATTATGAGCATCGAAGTTATTTCATCTGATTTAGTAATTAACGAATATAAAAGCAAGGAGTGATAAACATCAACCCTGGGGGACACAAATCTCGTCTGCATTCAATTCAACACTTATACGTTAAGAGCGGTATACGCTTGTGTTGTGTCTATGGTCAGACTCGAGGAGTTACGGAAGAAATTTCGAATAAACCTTACAAACAGAACACAGACAGCCTGGACCTCTTATTTAGTCCTTAATATTTGAAGTGACTAGTTGACCTCGTAGTCTCGTAATACTATGTTAGTGAAATGACTATAACCTATGTGTGTTTTATTGAAATTCATGGATCAAGATTTATTGAGTACAAATTGTATTAAAATTACGTCAAGAATCATAATCTGTTTTGATTGAAAACTTTTTGTAACTCGAACATTCGAAAAATTGGTATCTCTGGAATTAGGTATTCTTAACATTTTTTTTTTAAAAGTAGGTACTGCGGATTCCGGCTGTATGCATAACCGTGTTGAATTTTACTTTTGCAAATGAAAAAAAAAAGAACTATGGAAAATTATCTATGAGAAATAGGGTTTATAATATCTGTTTATCGGTTCAGTCAAAAAATCGACTCGATAATATTAACTGGTAAAGAAGTTGATGAAGGAGATACTGATTAAAGAATTTTATTTTATTATATAGTTGAGTAAAATTGCATCCGAAGGATGGATTTAAAGTCACTTGTCTGAGATGGGAATCAATCGAGACAATTTTGAAGAAATACCACCTCTATTTTATGGTGCCAATCAATAGGACTAATAACATAATTAAAATATAGACGGGGCATAGTATGTCGTAAATTAAAGGAACACTATGAAATCTAGCTTTATGAGGTAAAAATAAATAATTATAATTTTTTTTAAAAATAACAAATATCTGGCAGTATTTCCTCAATTCAAAACTTATTTATATAACATCTAGTTTACTGCACACAGCGACCGTTCGGTATTAGATGCAGCCCGTTACACTCATAGACGTACACAACATCTACGTATAATAAAAAAAAGCAGCATAGCCCTCTTTATTTGCAGTTCCATAATCGGGTGAATCCTACTAGGCTAGCGTCACTAAGAGACAGACAAAAACTCTATAAACTACTAAATTAACTTCGTTATTCTTTATGGCTTCGCCACACTCTATCCTCGCGCTGCTCATCGCTCTGCTCCTCGCGCTGCCGCAATGTTGCCCTCTCTTACCCCACACACTACCCCATTCGCGCAATTAATCCGCAGTGGGCTGCACGCGTTTGCAACAAAATTGTTTTTGAAACTGTGGCAGTATGCGCGCTATATGCATATTTGGTATAGCTAATTATATCAATGTCATAAAAAATAAATATAAGTCGTTCTCCAACGGAGATGGTGGATGAAATTTATTCGAAACGAGCGTTCAATTCGAACTGCGTTCGCGCGGTTACGTGGCCGGCCACTCACTCTCATATTTCCAGTCCTTTAACTCGCGCCCAAAAAGCCGATTAAACAGGGAGCGATTGGCATGACGAGAAGAATGACGTGCGGCATGACGAGTATTGTAACCATACTACGTCTCTGCCTCTTTTCCTCATTACTTCGCATGCCACTCTACGAGCCATACGGGCTTAAATAGTCCCCTAGTCA